TGACTTTCTAAGCCTAAGGCATCCCGGAACCTACTCGAAACTCACCCGAGCCCTCGAAACTCCGACACAAGTATACACACAGCCTCAAAAATATCATACGGACATATTCGTGTAATCAAATTGCGAAAATAACATCACGAGCATCGAATTAAACCTCGAGATCAATGATATTTCTCAAAACTCTTTTAAACATCAAATTTCTCAATTAAGGTCCGGATCGCGTCAAATGACGCCCATTTTCAACCAAATTTCACAGGAATGAGTCAAGTCATATATAAGACCTGTACCGGGCTCCGGAACCAAAATACGGGCCCGATACTATTGCTTTCTAATCAGTTTTCATTTCAAATTTCCTTAAATAATTTCTAAAAACAATTTCACTTAAAAATTCATTTCTCGGGCTTGGGACCTCGGAATTCGATTCCGGGCATCCCAAGTCCCATATTTTCCTACGGACTCTCCGGGATCGTCGAATCACGGATCCGGGTCCGTTTACCCAAAATGTTGACCGAAGTCAAATTTATTCATTTTAACATCAAAACTTAGCATTTTTCACAGAGTTTCATATTTAAGCTTTCCGGCTACGCGCCCGGACTACGCATGCAAATCGAGGCGACTATAATGAGGTTTTTAGGGCTTCGGAGACACAGAAATCAACTGAAAGCAAGTGATGACCCTTTGGGTCGTCACAATACAATATGTTCCTAAATTAACGTCCAATTTGTAAAAATTAATCAAAGGACTATTATAATAGCATGAGCGTAAAAGAGATGTCGGATGCCTAAAATTAAAATTAACTTATTGAATTAAGCTTCTCTATAACAATTATATTTACATAAATGGATAGAACTAAATAAGAATATAACATATTATTTAGGCATTTTTTGTGATATATAGACACATATGAAAATGGATAGAAAGAAAACAAAATATTTTGATTTAGACACTTTCTGTGAATCCTGAACCTGAGTAAATTTATAAAACAAAAAAAAGAGAGGGTACTTTAATGTCCTAGAACAATTTTCAATTTAATTAAGATCCTTTCAAACGTGGATGTAGTAGAAATAATTTTAAAACTGATTCAGAGTAATAGGCTGCAAATTTTCTTAAAAGCGAAAAGTGTTGCTAGTATTGTCATATATAATGTTAAAAAGCTCATTGTCAATATTCATTACAGAGGGTCTAATATTATTTTCAATTTTCAGTAGTCTAACACTTATTACTATTGACTACTCCTCAATGTTTTTCCTTCTTTCCTTTTATCATTTTTTGGTTTTCTTTTTGGTAACGACCCGGCCGGTCGTTTTATGAATTTCAACCCTGTTTTCTTCATTTCTACTTCTTTATGTGTTGTCCAGCTGTGTTATGTGATATTGGATTGGTTGGTTCGGGTTCGGAGTGATTTTGGAGAGGAATGAGACACTTAGTCTCTTTTGAGTAAGCTTAAGTTGAAAAAGTCAACTGAATGTTGACTTATATGTAGAAGGTCTTGGATGTGAATTCTGATGGTTCGAATAGCTCCGTTAGGTGATTTTGGGCTTAGGAGCGTGTTCGGCATGTGGTTTGGAGGTACGTGGTAGATTTAGGCGTGAATTAGCGAAATTAAAAATTTGGCGTTTTTCCGGTCGGCAGTGAAAATCTTGATATCGGGGCCGGACTGGAATTTCGGAAATTTGAGTAGGTCCGTTGTGTTATTTTGTGACGTGTGTGCAAAATGTTAGGTCATTCGGATGAGTTTTGATAGGTTTTTACGACGTTTGCAGAATTCGGAAGTTTTAGAATCCTTAGGCTTGAATCCGAGCTCGATTTGGTTTTTCGATATTGTTTGGAGTGTTCCGAAGGTTGGAATAAGTTTGAATAGTGGTATATGACTTATTGGTATTTTGGGTTGAGGCCCTGAGGGCCTCGGGATGAATTCGGATGGTTAACGGAAGGATTGGGAAGTTGTTTAAGCAGCTGAACTTTTGCTACTTCTGTCATTTCCGCACCTGCGAATTGGGGACCGCAGGTGCGAGCCTCGCAGAAGCGAGATTGGACCGCATATGCAGAGAGTTGAGGATCTGAAGAAAATTGCAGGTGCGCACAAAGACCGCACCTATGAGACCGTAGAAGCGGGAATTCTAGGTTAAGTGAAAACCACACCTGCGATGGGTTTTTCGCAGAAGCAACTCGGAGGTCGTAGATGTGGAAAACACTAGGCACAAGGTATAAAAAGGTCTTCTTCGTGAATTTTGCTAAGTTTCTCCATTTTTGAAGACGAGAGTTGAACTTGGGCAGTGATTTCTCAAGAGGGATCAAGGGTTATCAGTTGGGTAAGCTACTTAAGCTTTATTACTTATGTTTATGACCATTTTTCCATTGTTTAATCGTGATACTAGTGGAAATTAGGGAAGAAAGTTGAGAGATTAGGGCTTGAAATTGGAGGCTTTGAATTGGGGATTTAGGGGCCATTTGGGGTCCGATTTTGATGATTTTGGTATGTATGGACTCGGGAGTGAAATGAGTTTCTAGTTTCGTGATTTTTGTTGGATTCCGAGATGTGGGCCCGGGGCCGGGTTTGAGCAAATTCAGGTTTTTGGATCTAATTTGATAATTTTCGTGATAATATACTGATTTTGGTTAGATTCGGAGCATTTGAAGGCCGGATCGAGAGGCAAGGACATTGTGGGTTAGAGTTTTGGCTTGGTTGAGATAAGTAATACTTCCAAACTTGGTTCTGAGGGTTCGAAACCCCGAACTATGTGTTCTATGATTACTATTGAGGTGACATAAATGCCAAGTGACGGGCGTGTGGGCGTGCACCATGAGAATCGCGGCCTGGATCCTTCCATGGCACCGCTTAGTGACTCTTTCTTGCTGATATCTGTGTTGTGATTATGTGATTAAGTTAATGAGCTGTAAATCATGTTAATTATCATGTTAAGGCTTTACGCCGATACTATTGAGACCAGAGAGGTCATTTCTTGCTGTCATATCATTAGCTTCATTGATATTCTGTACTCAGCCTTGTTCATGCATATTATATCATGCCTCAGTCTCGATTATTGTTATTTGGCACATCATATCATTGTTTCGGGCTACTATCATGATATTTTGAGCCCGTGTGTGAAACTGGAGAGTGATGACTGAGTGAGGCCGAGAGCCTGATATTGAGTGATAGTATGGGATCGGGCTACACGCCGCAGCGGGATATTGATTATGCTTTCATTGGCTTGTTATAGCGCTTGGGCTGAAAGGAGCGCCTCCGGAGTCTTTACACCCCCAATGAGCGTAGTGATGTTATTGAGGGATGTATCTTCCCTGGACATGGATCTTGTCCGAAGTATTTATACTTGGAGATGGATCTTCTCCATAGGGCTGGAATGGCCTTCCTCGGCATTGGATGACTGCGGTCAGTGATGTGTATATATTCCGGAATGGATCTTCCCTGGGTCGGATGGCCATATACAGTACTGAGTGGTTGAGCACTTGTGAGTGGACGTACATTGTACATTTTTCATGCTTTCTGTGCATTAGTACATAGAGATTTGCTAAACTTTATACTCCGTACTATTCAGATTGTATTTATTTACTGTTGAGTTCTATACTTGAACTGCAAGCATGCCTACTTTTCTGTACAGTTAAATTGTATTACCTGTTGAGGTTTGGTTCGTCACTACCTGTCAGTCCATAGTTTGGACTTGTTACTTACTGAGTTGGTGTACTGTCGTTACCCCCTGCACCTTCTGTGCAGATCCATGTATCTCAGGGCACAGTAACAGCTATTGAGTATTCCAGTCGCGGACTTCACGGAGATAGCGAGGTAGCTGCCTGGCGATCACAGTTCCGCTTTTCTCCTTCTCTATCTTCCTATTTGTACATTATTGTTATTTTCAGACTATTTTGGTCTTGTCTTATTTCGGAACTATTGTAGTATTGCTCATGACTTAGTAATACCCGAGGTCGGGCTTGTATTTTTCGCTTTGTTTAATTTTGACTTTATATCTTTTATCTGATTTCAGTTGAAAAATATTTTTACTTAAGTTTTAAATGAAATGTGAGTTATTTTGGAAATGGGTTGGCTGACCTAGTTTCACGATAGACACCATTACGACCGGGTCGGTTTTGGGGTCGTGACATTTTCCTTTTGAGATGAACACGATAATTTCTCAAGCCTTTGGTTCGCTTAGCTCTTAGTAGTAAATAATAAAAATGGTCAATAGCTTGTTCATAAATATATGGATTCTTCCGAATTGTTTCATCTTTCACATGTTCATAAAAGAGATATGAGGTAATTTTCTTAGACTTTTTTCTTGTCAAAATCTATTTGATTTCTTCTGCCGTTCTTAATCAGAAACTATTTCTTCCAATAATACACTATATGTTATACAAGAGCCAGCTTTCGTCCCAATACCATCATCACTAAGAATTTTTAACCCATTCTTCTCCATGAACACACCATATATTGAGTTTCTTTGACTCAGGGTTATCATGTTAACCATTTATATAATAATTAAAAGAACATTTTTTTATAGAAGTTACATTTGGAAATTGCAGCAACAACAGTTAGCTCGGGCTATAGAGGAGATGGAAAAATACAAATTCAAGTAAACTGTAAAGATGGAGAAAATTTGCATGGAATTGTTATTTTTAAAGAGAACAAAATTCTTGGAGAAGATAATCCTTGGACGAAGCTTTCTTTACAGTAGGCATCTTTGGCCGAGGAAACGTTGCGTCTGTTCCTTAAAGAGAAGCAGTTTATTGTAGTTTTTTTTTTCTTTCTAAAATTAATTAAAAGAAGGTAATTTTGAATAATTTTATAAAGGACGGGGTAATTTAGTAATTTGACTTTTGCTTAAAGAACTTCCTGCTTTTAAATATATATATATATATATGTATATTGGTTAGTAAAAGATTTTATTTACCAGTATCAATATGTACAAACACAAAACAAAATGAGCCTAGACATTCCCTAGACTCAAACATCTCTATCTACTCATCCTCTATACACTTCTACGGATAAAAATTTAGTGCTTCAAGCGTCTTTACTAGTTTATTCTGCATCAGCACTCTACTTGTTACCTTTTGGATAATGTGTCTAATGTTGTTGCCCTTGAAAGACTCTTATATTCTTTTCCCTCCATATATGATATACAACACAGGCCAGAGTTACTCTATATAATTGCGCATCTGCATTTCTACCCTTTGCATTGCCTTCTGCCCATTCAATTTCCCTTTGCCAATCTAGAGCACTTCTCAGAATGCCTTGCCATCTCAAAACATTCTCCCAGATTCTCTTAGTTACCACATACCTAAAGAACAGGTGTTCCATGGTCTCATTTTCGTCATTGTACATAGGACATCTTAGAGTATCAGTTATCCCATATGCATTCAATCTAGAAAGAATTACAAGAAAATACATATGACTTCACACCATAACAAAAAATGACCCATATTTTTAAGTTTTACCTGACCTAGCTCATATTGTACATATTTTGAAAGCACTAGCAAATTCAAAATCTGTGTTCGTACAACCATTGCTTCTAAAAGCTATGGAATTAAATCTGTATTCTCACAACTATTGCTTTCACTCTCTCTTCTTTTCACATCTTCTACATATGCTTCAAAGGGGGGCGTCCACCATTACTGCTTCTCTCTCTGTGTCAACTGATTGCAACGTAAGAAATTGAAAAGATTGAAGGCCATTCAAAGCTTTGCTTTCGAAAATAGAATTTTTTGAGTTTGTTAGTTGTTTGGATTGGGTGTTGTTCCAATTAATTGAAAATATCAAAAGGAGTTCAAAATTTAAATTTGAAGTGATTTGGAGTAGATTTGAGCAAGATTTGAGTTAAATTTCAGAAAGGACGCAAGGAAGAAGACGAAGTCAGTTTTTTGTATAATTATGTATAATCTTGTATACTAGTGTATATGAGTGTATAAACACATCTTATACACTATTATACACTTTTATGCACCTTTATACATGCGTATGTGGACGAACTTCTTCCACGATTTTTAGTTGCAATTCTTTTCAAAACCAGTCCAAATCTCCATTAAATGACTTCAAATTTTATATACAACCTCCTTATACTATTTCTAACAAGCCTAAATAACACCCACTCCAAATTTTTCACAAAATCAAATTCGAAATTTAAATCCACATATTTAAGCTTCTTAGAAATCTAATTTTCACCATCCAAATGGATTTGGTTTGTTGAACCAATAATTGAGTCACAGTTAATGATTCGAAAATTAACTTAAAAGCTTGAGCAATTTTTTTTTAAAAATTAAATAGTAATTTCAAGAATCTATTGGAGTTGAATGTTTTGTATTAGCCTATTATTTTTGGGCTAGTTAGTTATAAATTGAAATATGGGTTATAAAATTGAAAAGTGGAGAGCCCAACTGTTCTAATGTGAAATTTTCCCTTCAATCTATCTCTCGTGAGCAACCTTCTTTGTATAGCCAAGTTCAGCACAAATATCCATTTTGGAGCTCCTGCATTGTTGCAAGTCAAATTTCTCCAAGTCATTTTGTGAAACTCCCCTCTCATGGCATTGTATAACTTTTTAAAAGAAAAAAAAAATTCCAGCCAGTCACTTCATGCATAGTGTATCCCATTTCTTCAAAGTACTTTTTAGCCTTGATAATCTTTTGAACTATCCAAGATGCATTCCTAGGATTAGGTACATATGTATCCATTGCACCCATAGTATTGCAGTTCTATTCCATGTGGAAATTTTCAGTACATTGTAGCCCCCAACAGTTTTTGACATGCACGCTTTCTCCCATGCTAAAAGAGCCTTTCTTGATGTTTCCACTCCATCTCTCCACAAAAAGGTTCTGCACACAGCTTCTATCTTCTTTATCAACTTTTTAGGCAACACAAAGATTGAGACCAATATATTTGGATGGAGAACAGTACAATTTTAATTAGTTGCAACCTTCTAGCATAGGATAGATATCTTGAGGTCCAAGAGGTTATTCTGCCAAGTATTTTATCCACCAATGGAAGTGTGTGTATATATATAACTATACAATATACAATCATTAATTAACACTTTGCAAAAAATCCAGCATTAACATAACACATATTATAGAACCTTTAATTTGTAATATACTGTATACACAAATATAAATATATAATGTCCTATATATGATATATAATATATTATATATCACTATATATGTATGATATATACTAATTGTGTGGAGAAGTATCCTTAATGAAAAAATTAGAGGAAAATTGGTACGGATCATTTAGGTGAGAGAATAAGGGAGATATATGTTATGTTAGGTAGAGATTAACATATAATTTATTTTAAAAAAAAGGTAGAGATTATAGGGGTAAGAAAAGTTGTATATAATTTAATTTAAACATTAAATTTTAAAATAAATTGTATATGTGTAATATTCCGAAAGTAGTTGTAATTTATTTAAATAAGTATTAAAGAAGTTGTATTTTGTGTAAATTCCTTGTTTGTTGAGGAATTGGAGCGTTTGTTGAGGAATTTTCTGACATCCTAACCATAAAACGAAGTGAGAAAACGAGCCATCTCCATTTCTACTTCCATGACATTGTCAGTGGAAAAAATCCTTCATCAATCAAAGTCATTTCACTAGGAGGAGATGGAATCTACGGATTTGGAAAAACTTTCATTTTTGATGATGCATTAACAGTAGGGCCTAATGCATCATCTAAGGTTATAGGAAGAGCACAGGGGATTTACTCCATCGCTTCGCAGAGTGAGCTTGCCTTGCTTATGGTTTTGACCTTTGAGTTCATTGAAGGCAAGTATAATGGCAGCAGCAAAAGTATTCTTGGGAGAAATTCAGTTCCCAGAGATGTAAGGGAGATGCCTATTGTGGGTGGCACTGGCCTGTTTAGGTTTGCTAGAGGTTATGCATTGGCCCATACTTTTAAGTTTGATATAAAGAGCGGAGATGCCACTGTTGAATACAATGTGTTTGTTCAACACTTTGGAAGTAAGTTGAGCGTATAAAGTAGCAGTGCCACGCGCAATTAGTTTTTTTTTAGTTATTCCATCCATGGCAAGCTAGTTGTCTTTTTAACTTTTCTGGCATTGAATATTTTTAGATGTACACTCCAATTATTGTTAGATGTTTAAGGTTCACAACCACTCTTTAGATGTACGTATAGTCATTCCCATCATTAGAGTGAAAGGAGACCAATTTTATTGGTATTTTGCAGATCAGGCTTCCCTACTGTGTTTGAACTTGGCGTTCTTTTTCTCTGAGTTGATAACCAAAAAGGAGCGCAAGTGGAAGGATGAGTATCATCCAGGTTATTATATTGCAAAGTTGAATCCAAGATCCATTGTTCATGAAAGCTTTGAGATAGATACAGACACTGGCACTACAATTACACAACTTATACAATCATGTGTGCGTCCTACGGCTGATGAACGTCCACATATAGACAGAGTCTTTGATGCATTGGTAAGCATAGCTGGGTATAGTCCAACTGTGCAAATATGGGCCTCCCACACTCAAGAAGTAGAGTAACACAGTTCTCCATGGAAGAAAGAAGCGACTGAGTCTTGATCTCAGAGTAACCCTGGAAGTCTAGTCAACCATGAGGCCCTTTGGTTCCAACACCCGACAAGTAATGAAGAGAAATACTTACAGCTGCCCTAGCAGGTGCCTTGGCAAGCAATTCTGCTGGTGATAGTTCAGAGGTGTGTAGAAGTTCCTCCGCGGCAGCCTTGAAAGCAGGTATCACACTACAGAGATTTGCAAATAAATGGAAATAATAAAGTGATGGTACATAAAAAGCACAACTATAAAACTTACCTATCAGAAATTTCAGCAACTGCACAAGCTTTGGTCCATCTAATGAACTTATCCACATATTCATTATGTGTGTAGATTTTCAACAGAAAATCTTTCAATTATGTTAGTGGAGTTTCTTGTGCTTACGTATCATAGTACATCTCACCCCTCAGGAAAATGAAGGGAAAAAAATAAAAAGAAGAAAAGAAACATAAAACCGGACAAAAAGGAAAAAATTGGAATAAAATTTTAAGGGATTATCTCATCCTATTAAAAAAATCATGCATTTCCTTCTTATGGTGGGATTAACAAAGTACCTCACAAATGCCACAGCATGTAACATACTACACGTCATGTACAGCGACTCTTCTTGCCATCTCATGATGCAGTTGATATGTAGGTGATTGGCCCACTCGTTCAGGGAAAACATTCTCCCTGTAATGCATAATACCCCACAGGTAAAGAACTGGCACGATATGAAAAAGTCATTCCTTCTGATCCCATGGTTGGTTTATCACTTGAACGTGAACTACCATAAACCTGGCTGTTTCCTGCTGTCTGTTGCTGATGAAACTGAGCCGAGCTGACCCTGGAAACAATACCATCTCTAAGCAAATTCAGAATCAATGCAAGTATCAGGCCACATATTGGATACAGCACTCACAAGCTTGTTCAATACAAGAACATGTGAGACAACTGTGAGGATAAATGATTGCAACACCTTGCTTGAATATATAGCAATAAGAAGACAAAGACATTAGTTGAATTTGTGAAGACTCCTACTTGTTTTGAGCTCAGAGGGCTCTCCTTTCCCATCCAGGTTACATCTCCTATCAAAAGGATATTGCTAAAGAGCGACAAATTCCCATTGTATATTCCAAACACATTCCCATTTTCATTCCGATTAGTGCAAAATATAATCCAGAAAAAGATAAATATAAATACTATTTGAGAGTATTTGATAAGTCAATCCACAAGATATATTTAAAACCATAATACTGTAAGAAGAAACCTTTTATTATTTCTAATAAATTTATAAAGGTAGGCAGAATCTTCTTCAAACTACTTCACAAAATCTGTAAACAAGAACAGAATTTGTTCACTCAAATGGAATAAAAAGGATACAAAGGCTAGCTAAATGACCTTAAAAGTTTTTCACTCAAGGAAGAATGAGCTCACTCACTAGTAAGATTAGACAAACAGCATCCTCAAGACCAACAAAGCAGATCTAATCCCAGGAATTACAATTATTTATATATTAATACATGTAAGTGCTCTACTACCTAACAAAGATGGCATCAATATTCTCTGTTGAGGTTGGACGATTTTGGAGCAGATTGAAGTTGAGAACAGAACTTTTTGAGAAAAATAAGAAGGTTTAGGAGACGAAAGTGGTAGGATAATGGATTTGGAATTACAGTACATCTAAAAGACTTTAAGTACAAAATTTATACAACCACATAACAGCGAAAAGACAAGGCAACAAAGAGAACTCGAACCCATACCAAACACACATTCAGACTAATTAAAAACTCTTCAAAACTGAAGCAGGATATTCCAAAATTCCAATTAGACATGACAACCAAATGCTAGGAATCATGGCAAACCTTACATTCTATGTAAATCCTGGAAAAGATACCACTCTCTGAAGCACTGGCAGTGGTGCATAACTTGAAGAACCTTGCCAGCGTGCACCAGAAATAAAAGAAGCTCTGGACAAGGGATAGGACATCTGACCAGGAGTTGTAGAAGAAGGACCGGGAGGTAAACAGTAGAACCACGTGAAGAGACCATCATGTTAGAAGGTTCGGGATGATGAAATTTACAAGTACTTCCAAACTTGCATTTTGCAGTTCTCATGTAATATGTGCATTCATTCTCATTCTGCGGGTAAGAAAAATCATATATTATAATATTATCTGAATAAGATTCAGAGTACAACATGAGCAAAGAAAGGAAATGTTAGAAATAAATAATCAAATTGGCTTTGAGGCGTGAAAATCGACCGTCCTTAAAGAGTTATCGCTTATATACTAATTTAGGGAAAATACAAAACGATTCTCTTCAGGATACAACAAAGCCTGCAGTAACACTTGTGATTTTTTTATTTTCACTTCGTTGGAATTATTGTGTATTTATAGGCAACCAACAGACCCTTTCTGATAGGATGTCTTGTTTCACAAACAGACACGACTATTTATTCGAATTTTGAATTTAAAATTCAAATAAATAATTAACTCTAGGATCTTGTGTCTGTTGAGTTAATCTCGTGCCTGTTGAGACAGTCTCGTGCCTGTTGAGACAATCTCGTGCCTGTTGAGTCANGAATTCTTGTGTATTTATAGGCAACCAACAGACCCTTTCTGATAGGATGTCTTGTTTCACAAACAGACACGACTATTTATTCGAATTTTGAATTTAAAATTCAAATAAATAATTAACTCTAGGATCTTGTGTCTGTTGAGTTAATCTCGTGCCTGTTGAGACAGTCTCGTGCCTGTTGAGACAATCTCGTGCCTG